TAATTTCCTCGGTAAAATATTTGAAGAATATTGCATAATCTGTAACTCCCTTAAAGACTGGCATTTGGTGAAGTGCTAACAAGATCTAATTCTTGAAGAAATGAAACACAGTTTGTTTAATGAAATTAGCTTTACACGACAATGGAATGCTATTTTAAGTGGACAACCATTTATATTTCACTGATGTCTGATAAATGTTTTGATAAATTACTTTTATGAAATGCTTATCTAAACGATAGCGAAGGATTTTTTAACTTCAAAAATATAATTCCATGACATCAATAATTTACATATGCTTTTATTTCCTGACTATAGAGAGACTACTGGTATATTCTGAAATTCAACTATATTATTTTTCCTTTCAAAAATGAATACTCCATTCATAAATGCAGGTACATGTGCTCCATGACTAGAGCAACACACTTTAGTTTCAGCTACAAAATTAAAGTACAAACAGTGGCAGATTTGTATGACCTAACTCTTGGCACTTTTTTAAAAAAGTCAAATATTATACGTACATATTTTTTGCTAGTTCAGTTTTTCAGTAGGCCCTGCCATGGCAGCTCAAGGGAGATTAAGAGAGGGGGAGAAAAAGAACCTACATAAACACAAAGCAAAAACCTAGCTTGTGTGTAAAGCTACTGCACTGGAGCGAATGTGGTTTAATTCTTGGCACTGGCAGCTTGTTGGAGAATTACAATATGTTGGCATGAGTCTCTAGGTCTCATTGTTCCAGATGAGGGAGTCAGTCTTAAGAGTATTTGGCACTGAAGGGAAAACGGAGTGCAAGTTACAGGGAATGAACAGCCCCTAAAGAGGCAGGATGCTGTTGGAACAATGGCTGGCACAGTTGGGGGGGCATTCATTGGTCGGATTGCCATAGGCACTGATGTGAAGAAGCATATGTGAGCCAAAGAAGCAAGGGCAGGAGGGGGAAAAGAAGCAAATATATCAGAAGGGTCCTCTGGCAGAAACAGAAGAAAGTAAGTAGACTCATCTGAATATTAACATGTGTGCTAGTGAAGACTGGCTTTCATTTTTGTTAACTTACCTTGTTAGCAGCTATTTTATTTTCTCTTTTAAAACATATGATTTAAATTTTCCCTAAAGATACAGATCTTGGAATTAAGCAAATTTGGTTTTGTATTCCATCTGCTCTAATTTCTAGATAAATGATATTGTACAAAGCAAGTTTCTAAACCTCAGTTTCCTCATCTACTACATGGAGGTAATAGCTACACATACTACTGGCAAAACTGTTTGGTTGAGTAATATTCAGTAAACTGAAATACCATGCAAAAATAATTATTAATGGACTTGTATACTTATTTTAAGAAGTGGTAGTTCCCATTTTGAAGCTAATGGTGATATTCCTTTGCTTGGGAGATTGGTATCTCAGGAGAAAGAATGCTCAGGGAAACCTTTAGAAGTGTTTAATAGAGAGCACAGCATACACCAGGTATGGAGGAGCACACCTGTGATCCTAGCACTACAGGAGGCTGAGGAAAGGGTACCAGAAGTTCTCCACCGCCTGGGCAGCTCAGCCACTAAGAGAAACCCTGTCTCAAAATAAAAAGGGTTTGGGATGTAGATCAGTGCAAAAGCCCCAGGGTCAATTTGAAAACAACAAACAAACAAATTAAGGGAAAAAAAAAAAAAAAAACAGAACCAGAAACAATACAGCATACCTTACCATGAAAGTAAGAGATCCAAAACTTGAACATTGCAAATTACTATGCATGCAGCATGATAACATTCATAGCATAAAATTCAATTCTGTGTTTTTAAAACACTCTTTTGCAAAATTAATTGCTTAATTGATAATTGTTATCTCTTTTACTATATAAATTGTGAAGCAGCACTTTCATAATTGTGTTAAATCTCACACATTAGTGAACAGATATATTTAAATATTGGGACTTTGCCATTTGGTCTTTTGTATTTCTAATGATGAATTTTCTTTGAGAACTTTACTGTATTCAGAGAAGTTCAAACGCTGTTCATCCACTGTGATATTTATTAAGAGATAATTTCCTTAGAGTGCTACCAGTATAAACCACCTGAAAGTGTAGCAAATTGGTAGAATATGAGATGTGGATTTGTAGACACTCTTTATTTTACAGAAATTCAGATAGCATGTCAAGTAGGTGAAATACATACACCCTCCACCCCACCCCGTCCCCTCACCCCAGCTCACTCATGTCAATCTTAGTGACACCTTAGGTTGTTTGGGATACTATACATTTCATCCTCATGTAAGTAAAAGGAAACATTTCCTTCTGTCCTTGTGCACTATTCATAGGTTTTCAGTAAGTTCCCTTGCACTCTGAAATGCAGTATCAGCTCCATTGGACTGCAATTTTAAGATCACAAAAACTATTTTAAAAAGTATGCCTTTTAATCTCATGGTCGCTATTCCTATATACATATTACCCTGGAAAATTCAAAAGGTTCAATTTTAAATTTTTCCCTCATTCACCTGATAGAGTTAATAACAATATGTTTTCCCTACTTTCCAGAATTGTTTTGCAGATAAAAGCTGTGTGTGTGTGTGTACTCTTGTGAAATAGATGTAATAAAACAAACTGAGTCTCAGTTGGTTGCTGTGATTAAATGAGGAATGTACAGGTAAAATGATGCAGCATAGTTCCTGACACATAGCCTGCTCAATAAATGTGTTTGAATCTGAATTTAATGTATAGACCTCATTCATACTTAAGTATTAGTGTCTTTAGGCATCTATAGCCCTGACAACCCTGTGTAGATAAGTCTCTGATTTTACATTTTCCAAATAACTTGGCCTTAAATAACTTATTCATTATGCTGTAGCATGTCCTAAAAGTTGAGTATTTGAAAGAAGTGACTCTACACTGCACATACTACCTAATAAAGAGGCCAGGAATGTTCTGCAGGTTTCAGAAATCTAGTGGCTGTTTCTTTAACTCAGCAACTTAGAAAACTTCTGTTTCTTTCTGAGTACACTACAGTGAATATTTTGTCTAGCTGCAGGGGAAAAGCTTTGTCATGGACTTTGCAGACAATAGCTTTAAAAGTAAAATGGGCTGCTTTTGGTGCAGGGAGGTTCAGGGGCCTATTGTTAGTGCACAATGGATTTCTATTGCTGCATTCCTGCTTTGCAAAGGTTTGTTAGCTTTTAATGACTAACAGTACTCTATTGCAAATACCATATTGGCTGCGCCCTGTTTACGTGCTACTCAAGAATTTTTGTAAAGTGCTAGAAAAAAGAAACAGTGGTGTTTGTTTGACCTACTCTGATAAGGTTTAAGAAATGCTTTTGCTCACAAAGTGTTTAATGTAGAAATGGTGGAAATCTGTGCAGTAGTATTTTAAACTTACCTGTAAAGCCTCTGTGAACAGAAATATTGGTTACGATGACTGTTTTGCTACTCAGAGACTTGCCACTGTCATTTTACAAACTGTATGATAAAAGGGATATTTTAAGAAAATATAAAAGTAAACTTTTCAGTATCTTTTTATTTCTTAAATGTGAACAATCAGGATATATATTTTGTGACAAAGGAAGAATATACTTTTCACACACTTCATAGGTAAAGCTGTACATAGTAATTGTAGTATGCATCTGTATATTTGCACCGTATATGTTACTATATGGATTATGTAAATCTATATTCTGAGCTTTTCACCATCTTAATTTCCTCACGTTTTTGACATCTGAAAACAAAATGTTCAATGCATTGTGTCCTTGCTTTGTTGAAAACTCCATGTAGGCTTTGTGACTCTGATAACTGATGATTGTTAAAATGGGGCCCTGAAAAAAGTCCAAGGCATTAACCAAAGCTGATGACGAAGACTCCTTAAAATGCATGTTACTGTGGGGAAAATTAACCAGTTTCTAATAATCTTATGGTCTCGAGGACAGACGGTCCCTTTGATAAGTTAACATGTACTCCCTTTATGCTCCTAGTAGGGGGTAAACAAATGCCTGAACAAACACAAATACACATAAACACCAATGTGGAGAATGGCTGTGCATGTCTTAGATCCAGATAATAAGTATGGGTATTGTTATTTAGATGGAGCATACTGGGACACTTATCTTTTAGTACACTCCATTTTCTAACTGAATGCAGGGCTAATAGTGGGATTGAAAGCCATTGTAATTGTGTACCCATCTAAATGCTGACAAGAATATACAATTACATTGTTTGGAACTGAGTTTAATGTTTGGGAGTTTTATTAGCATTTATATTTACTTATACATTAAAATTCAGCACAAAAGAAGAGGTCAAAGCCATGCTGTATATAAAAAACAAATACTAAAGCATAGCCTTGGTCTCTAAAATGTGTGTCCTGACCCAACACAGGGCATTTTAAGAGTATGATATAAATCTGAAATAAGCAAATAATAGGTTTCCATTATAGGCATGATGCACTTCTCTGGATTTTGCAATCTTTTTAAAACGTTTTTTTTATACCAACTTTTTAAAAATGTTCACGGAACTGGCAAATCTTGCCACAGTGTGCTTACCAGCACACGATGTTAAACACATATTATAAAGTGGATGTAATTGTAAACACACAGAGGGATATAATTACATGTAGCAGATTTAAGAGCTAATTCTTTGCCTTTTTTTACTCTGCATTTTATCAACATAATTATTTTTTGACTGCAGACTAACACCCTGAAATTGACAAGCATCCATTATAGCAAGAATTTGTTCAGCAAATTGGAAAACAATGAACTGCAGGTTTATATGTACCAATTGTCATAAAGAATTAGTATGGCTTTGTTCCGCAAGAGGAGAAAGCTAATGATTTTGAAACAGCAGGTGACAAAACATATTCTTTTTCCCTCCCCTGTTATCAGTTTGTTGATGAAGTCATTATGAACTGGGCTAGAATAGGGATGGCCTTATTTTTAGCAGCTAGACTTTTAATAAGCTCCATTGTAAAAACAAGTTATGTTGATTTGCTTATATATATATATATATATATTTTTTTTTTTTTTCTTTACTTAGAAACTCCCAGTATTGAAAAACTACTCTCAAAGGACTGGAAAGACAAGCTTCTTGCAATGGGATCAGGAAACTTTGGCGAAATAAAAGGTAATGTACATGTAGTGATTTTGATATAAGTGTACAGAAGTGAAGTTGATATTCTGAAATATTAATGGAAAAGAAATACTTGTGCCCCACCTACTTTGTCCTTCATGAATTGTCTATGTTAAATCTCATTATCAATGTTCTTATTTTCTGTTCGTTCAGACCTTTTGAATGCTATATTATTTTTAGTACAATAATCACACTATATTTTTAACATGCTTTAGTTTTTCTCATTTTCAAACTTAAATGATTTACTTCAAATGTGGAAATATACCCTCAGGACCTTTAAAAATTACATTTTATAAAACAATTATATAGATTTTTACATATTAGAAATATGAATGTACATAATCTGTAATTGAAACCAGAAATGATTAATGAGGACATATAATACAAGATTACTTACTGTCAATAAGGGCAGTCAGTGTGTTTGCTCTGGCTTTATTTAAATCAGCAATTATGCACAACAAAGGGAAATTTTATATGGACTACAGAAAATACTGAATATTTATATCTTAACAAACTTCTACTAATAGCAAAGGGAGATTTAATTTCCTCACCTATAAATAGAAGTAGGTGAACCTGTCAATTAATTTAAAAATGAGTTTTCTCAGGGCCTGATAGACATCATATATTTCCTGTTCATTGCCAATATAACAATGATTCTAAGCTCTAAAATAAGATCAATCATGAGAAAGACAGATGCTTGGTCATTATGTTAAGATTTTTAGTTGTGTGTTTTGTATTTATTTTTTGGTGGATGCTAGCTATATATTTAAAAGATCACTCGGTTTATATTAATACACACTTAGAAATGTGTGTAAATAACTTTTTTTCATATGCATGTCTCTAAGTGCCCTTTCAGTGAGAGAGACATTTGTCTTTCTTAAAAGCATCCAGTATCCTGCATCCCAGTATCCCGCATCCCAGTATCCTGGAGAAAAGCAAATCATTTATCTTCTCAAATCTTTGGTCTGCATGACACTCACATCTTGATATTTGAAAACTTCCACTAAATGTTTCAGTGTTACCTTTATTCATTCAAATTGGTCAGCATTACATATATTCAGAATGTGATTAGGGCTGAGTGAATGGTGAGTAAAGGAGTTCTAATCATAAGTTCACTGAACAAAACCTATCATGGAATAATTTGAATGACTAATCATTAACGTGTCCTAAAGACACTGAAGACAACATTTAAGGAGAACCAGGAAGTTTCATTCTGGACAGTAGCAGGTCTTTCATCTCATTTTGATGGGATTTTAACCCATTTGCACCTGCGCCACAGCCTGAATCCTGCGAGGTTCTTTATTCTCCGCTGACCTAGGTAATAACTAAGCGTACAGCAAAGAGGCGGCTGTTCCAAGCCGTGTGATCTCATTCCATTGGAGGACAAACATTTTTTCCCCTCCCTCGTTTTCCTTCACAAGTCAAACTTAAAAGCAGCCACAGCAGCGACGATAAGCTCAGAGGAAAGAGGCTCAGCTGTCCTTTCAGGCTTGCCTGGGGGTTAGTTTAGGAAGCTACAGTACGATCACAAAAGAAGTTTCTGTCTTTAATTTTGAGTTTTTTGAGCTTCACATTCAGAGCACAAGTTTGGTTATTGTCCTCTGGTTCTGTTCACAAAGCTGTTTTTAGATGCACTTTAAAAGCCACTGTAGGTCTTTCTTCTGTGGGGCATGGTTATTAGGTGCTAGGCTCAGGTTTGGCAGTAAACTGGGAAAAAGTGCTGGCTTACTTTTCCTGAGGACTGCCGACTGCCGTGACAGTTGCAATTACTGCCCATTGTTCATAGGTGGCTGGAAAGTGGAGAGGTACAATAGTGGGCTGCCCTCTGGGGTAGTGAGTTTGACTTAAAGGTTCTTGGGGGGTCAGACGCGAAGATTACGCAGCGCCCAGGAATGTAGTTTTCTTGCCACCTCAGAAGAATTTAGACAAGAACAATGGTTTAGTTGTCTTGGCAGCTATTTTTATGAGGCCAACAGAGGTGTAACTCTAACTTACTAGTAACTGTTTTTGGTTTGGAGAGAGCAGGTTGAGTGAGTGCTTCTTATTTTAAAACATGAAAATGTGAATTTAACCGAATTATCAGTGATTGAAATAATTATTTAAAATAATGTAGAGCTTTTGCTCATGTTAGAATGTTTAAAGCCTTTTGAGTATTTAGTTGATATTCTTGTAGATTGAAACTTTTCTTCTTATTTTACGCAGCCATTTTTCATTTTAATTTGAATTAGTTCCTGGAAATATGAGAGAAGAAGACAGGCAGATAGACAGACACCTTTCCTGAATATTTTAAACAATTGACATAGAACCCGGAGCTGTTTTATGTCCTGCTTCTACAATGCCATTTTCATGACACTTGCATGATATTGGAATCACAGCATACAAAAAGATTACAAAGTGTTTCTTATTAATATTTAAAATAAAACTAATAATTTCTTTCAATAGAAGGAATCAATAGGATTTGATTTGGATAGTTTAGCTATGAATAAATAGTTGTCTTATCCACTTAAAGTCAGTTTCACTTTTTCAGAAACAGTGTCAATCCCTAAATGTCACTGACTTCTAAGAGCATTAAATTATTTTTCATTTTCCATTATTTACCTGTTAGCACATAGACTCTGGATATTCTGGAAATGTGGAATAATTAGGTTTTAGCCCTATCAGAAATAATCTAAGGAACACACAAAGAGGACAGTAGATTCAGCTCTACAAAACAAAATAATTTGACTACAAAGATCTGCCAATAGCTAACAGTCAATACATGCTATAAACTGATTCGCTGCTTGAAGGATTTCTTTTTCTTTTCTATTCAGCTATATTGTGTACCTGGCTGATTTACAGTTTTTGTCCTGATTTGTAGTAGAAGCATCAAGGAATGGTGGTGTGAAAGTGAAGAAATTCCATTTGTAGTCTAATAGTTACCGAGAAGTGAGCAGAACTGTGATTGCACTCCAGTTGGCAGTCACGAGTGCCACACACTGTGTCAGCTAGCGTGAGATTCCATTACACTGAAGGTCACTGCATTGGCATTTCACCTGGGGCTAGTGCCTGGGAACCCAGGGTGGCTTTGACTAAGCATTTCACTGTTTTTCAGCAAAGCAATTACAAAACTTGTGGGTTTTTTTGCAGATTTATTATTTATTTACAGTATGAGAACACAAATATCTGCATAAACTTCTCTCAGTTATTTCTATCTTAGGAAGGTTATATTTTGTGAGCTTTGTTTGGAAATTCGCTGGCCAGTTCATTCAGAAAACTCTCAATGATATTCCCTACCTGCCTCATTTGAAGAAAAATTTTAAAGCCCTGTTTGTTTCTTCTTAGTATCTCTGAGTGGACCCTTGTGACTCTAGTCACAGTCCATTAATTTAGAGCTATGTACTCAATGTTAAGGAAAACGCCACCTGCATTCTATAAGATGAGAAAAATTACTCTTCTAGAAGTATATAATTTGTTCAGTCTGGAAGAGGAAACATAAAACTGAACACAAAACAGCTCTAGAACTGTTAATAATGCATTCAAGGAAATAATCCACTCAGTAATGCTATACCTTTGCAGTGCTCATGAATTAAAGATATATGTAGATGCAACATGTGGATTAAAATAATCTCTCAGATGACATGTAGAATTTTGAGATAAAAGAGATGTAAATTTAGTGTGCACCTTTAAAGAGATAATTCTCTTTAAACATCATTAGATGATTTACAAATGAGCAGGCTTAGGTTAGGAATGAAATCCCAGTAAGAAATCCTTAGAGTTTTATAAATTTAATACACAGATACTAAAATTTCCCCATTTCTATGTGCAACTTGAGAGTTACTTTAAACCTATTCTTTAGAAACCCATTAACTATTAAGCAGCACAGAGGTTACTTGTAGTAATTTGTGACTATTACATTTGCCCATTAACCTGAAGCATGTGTATCTGCACATTTTAATAGAGGGGTTAGAAATGCTGATGACTTTCTGCAAATACCGCTGGATCTGGAATTGGTTCAAGGCAAGAGTCAGCCATAAGGAAGGTCAGCCATAAGATGTAGTCATTTACTTCTAAATAAAGTAAATGTTTATGTTTTTATCTGCTAAGCTAGTTTTATAGCTCCTCTGTAGTTGCTCATGAGTAATGTTTTCACTTTTCATAAAAGCTTCATAAGAACTAAAGAACATTGCTGGCTCACAAAATATAAGTTTTTAGAATAAGTTTGACAATGTCTATAAAAACAGAAAAAGTAACTATATTTTCTATCAACTAGCGATTTGCCCTGTTTCTGAATGGCAACATCCTCATGCCAGAGCATGTACACTACTTGAGCCAGGAAGAACAGGATTTATCCCCTGAGTCTGGGGTGTATGTGGAGTATATGGAGGATCCAGTGCACCAATACCTGTACCTACTCTGTACCTATTAAGTATGATAGGATTTTAATAATGCATGTTTCAAAAGTGATGTGATACACCCTGCTCATATATTGAATCCACATTTTATACTTAAAATTCCATCCTCAAAACTTTTCACATTTAAAAATGGATTCAAACTGGGTGTGCTGGTGCACTACTGTAATCTCAGCACTCCGGAGGCTGAGGCAGGAGGATCTTTGCAAGTACAAGGCCAGCCTGAACTGGCCTAAAAAAAAGACAAAAAAATGTATTCATTTAAGAATTTATTTGAGAGGTGTTAGGATATAAAATTAAAATATTACAAAAATATTATTTGTGTTCTTACAAATTTGTACCCCAAAGCTTGCTAGCATGTTATCCAGATGCTTAGATAATGCAATAATCTAAAGTGTTTTCCAATTTTACATTAACATTTAGTTAAGGAAGCATAATGTAGCCAAAACAATTCAGTGTCCTGTGACTCTGATTCTTCCTAGTACTGTACTTGTAGAAATCACATTTCTACTTTTGGTTTATTTCTTCATCTGATCATTTAAGAAAATTTGGGAATGCTATTTATCACATATCATTTTGTAAGCATCATCCTTACAAAGTTATTGT